ACAAACAAAACCCGGAGGCCAGACGCTCACGTAATATTGCGTATACGCAATTTAAATGAGCTCACAACTCGAAGAAGACCCAAAACAATTCCCCCAACATGCATTTAAAGTGAAGTAAAACGCTTACAAATGGGCCTATAAAACTGACTTTTAACTGAGACAGGTTTTTGGGCCAACTCTTTAAGGGAAGCGAAGGGAACTTTACATAAAATGGCCTAAACAAGATAGGGGTAAAGAGGCAAAGTTTTGCTATCATCAGGAATAGTTTTTTATGCATAAACAGTTGCCGAAGGAATAATAGGAATTAATTTATATTTTAATATTTAATATTATCTTGGGAATCATATTGCAAATAAATAGTGTATTTAAATACCAAGTGTACTGTAATAAAGTATATATACGTCTAGTCAACCAGAAAAACAACTCACTTAAAGGTTTATGGCTTACCCTAATCTGGTCCACCCCTGTAGACGTATTAATTCTTTTACGGCCATATTCATGTCAGTTAGCCAGTTAGATAGTTGGGCCTTTATGTCAGCTATTACCACCACGTCTCTTTCTGGCTATCTATGAGTTATGAGAGCGGCGACAAATTTCTGGCACTCTTTCTTCTGTGAAATGAAATGAAATGAAAAAATGTCTATTTCCATTTGGTGCGGTGTGTGTATCTTTGTATCTATATATGTTTTGATATGTACATATGTGCCCCAACACTCACTAATTTTAGTCTGTCTGGCTTGTCTCTTTCCTGCGCTTTTATCTGCCCCAGCATTTCTCTCTCTGTATCTGATGATTTCTGTATATATACTACACTACTTGTTTATCATTTTCCTATTTTTTCGGTTTCTGTTTTTGCTTTTTTTTTGCCCGCTAAATATTTACTTGCCGAATATCGTGGCTGCTGAGCATGTGTCTAATTTATTAGCTCTCTCCCCGCTTTCCTTTTAATATATTTATAGAAATTTATTGACGTGGCTTGGAGAGATGTCTGTTCTTGTTACGAGGATACGGGGATTTTTCATCACCTCCGGCAGTGCGGAGGGGGGCTTATCCTGTCTGTCCTCGCCTCGATCCTGCAATGTTGTTTCGCTAATCTTATTTCCTCGCCGCTTGGCCGTTATTATTTTTATGATTCATTGCATAGCAGCTTCAATTGCTAAATAATAAATAGACTGGCCAGGACGAAGCATTCCTCCACTCCCATCTCCCATTTAAGGAGCCATAAAATATCTCTGCGCGAAACATGAATTGCATTTCATCCGCGGCAAAGCTGACAAATTGCTTTGATGGGATTCATTATTCCATTTGGCCAAGGGCTTAACGAGCTCATTCAGAGACAATCAAACGCGGCAAGAACAATATGTTTTTCTTGGCTGAAAGCCCGCGGAATGCACCACTTGACACGCGACGGCAACAAAGGGCTGAAAGCCGAGACTTTGTCTAGGATTTTCCGCCAGTCAGAAAATATCAACTTGCTTGACATGCGGAAGCGGTGGGTTTCTTAAAATTTAATTTTAATCAATTTGAAATTTTGGGCTGAAAAGTTTTCAGCAAAGTTTTTACACTCTTTAAATGGGAAGAAAGCCTAACAAAATATGAAAAGCAATTTGAAACATTCAAGACGGGGCTCAGGACGGGTCTTAAAAACTTGCCAAGAAGAAATGAAAATGTTATGCAAATTACACGAAGCTGTGTAATTTTATTTTTATCTCTAATGTGGGGCGACTTTGCTTCGGAAAAATTCCAGACGAAAAAGATTTGAGCAACCCGGAGAGACATCCACTTGGCTGGCCTTTGTTTATTGTTATTGTGCCCCAGCCCATGCACTTGCTTTTCTCTACTCCGAGAGGCAGAGAGCCTTTGTCATGTCAGGAGGCCTCCTTTCTGCTCCTATCCCATCCTGCCTTTCTGTTTTTCTCTAGACTTTGTGTCGTGTCCTGTGACGTGTCTTGTGTTATTCTATGCACTTGAAGGAAGAAAATATTTCTCTTAGAAATAAAATAGCCTCTAGTCATTTTTATATATAGTAATTTATAAGAATAATATGAACTAGAAACCCGAAACACAAAGCGGAAAAGTTTGTTAGTTTATCGTATCTAAATCCCTATCTTAAAAATTAACAAGTGGCTTAAACATATTTGAGGACCTTTCAATAATTATAAAAAATATTTAAATACTTAAAATTATTCAAATACAGTTTCCTCCGCCCCTTAAAACTGTTTTTAACATCCTTTTTATTTGAGAGAAATCCACATTTAAATTTATAAGCTGTTCTTAGACATCCTTGGGCAGATTTATTTCGAGTGTGAGCCTGGGATTGGGCGCCGCACGTGGCCCCATTGTCGGGCTCATTAAGAGGCAATTGCTGCAACATGTCGCAGACAAAGTCCAAGGCTGCTTATATGTTGGCATAGTGCGGCTTTTGTTTATTTTTAAAGCTGCCCCACAGCACGAATTAACTTGAAATGATTTGACTCAAGTGCGGGCAACTTCCTCCACAGCAGGTGTAATTTATGAAATTACATTTTCATTTTCATTTTCTTGAGCTGCGTGAGGGAAAAGCTGAGCTAAGCCGAGCTGAGCCGAGCTGCGATTTCAATTTACTTGGACGATCGTAAAAGAAAACTTTGTGCCACCAGCCAGCAGCCAGTCAAGTCTGTGTGGCATACTCTCGGGCGGGGTCTGAAAACGAGATGATTTTGGGGGGTTTGGTGTTGTCGGAGCTTGTTAAATTTATGTGCCGCCTAATGTTTCATTTGCTTTTTCCAGTCTGTGGCGGGCAAGTTTTTAACATTTGATGCCGACTGACAGCTCGTCGGGGGTCATAACTTTTAGCCGGCTTCGAAACTCGATTTGCAGAGGGAAAACTCAGACTGAAAGTCGCACCAACTGTCCTCGCAGTTGTCACAAATGTCCTGTTCTTTTGTCAAGGCTCCCCAAGGGAGACCCTGAGTCCATCAATAATTCGCCTCGCCAACAAATCACAAAAGTTTTTGTTTTTTTTTTGCGGCCGCAGCGGAAAACACCATTTGATCTATGGTTTTTGGGGCTGTCCTGGGCGTGACTGTGTAATTTATTTGCCATTTAAATTTCAATTACTCGACGGGGGCTGACACACACTTGACTTTGTTATATTTTTTAGAATTTTTATCCAACATTGAATTATTGAAGCTCCTGATTGGAGGCGAGCGTGAAATCCAATCAGCAAAAGTTTGAATCGCCGCACAGCGCGTGCATAGCATATGAGAAAAGCCGCATTTCCCAGGTCGTGTCTAAACCATGTATATATTATAAATAAATGTATATATGTGTGGCTTTAAGCTTGGAAAACCACACACACACACACACACACATACCCAGGCACTTGAAAGGCTGCACCGAAAATTATGCAACGTTTTTTTTTTCGGATTTTCCACAGGAAACTTTAAGAGCGAGGGTTTTTGGTTTGAAGTTGAATGTTAAATAATATTAATAATTACTTTTTTTTATTTTGTTTTAGCTGTTTGCCATTTTGTTGTTTTAAAGTTGAATGAGCTTTAATTTTTTAAGTTTTTTAACTAGTTTTACATGCAAAGGGATCTCCTTTGAAATCCTATTTATTATATTCTAATTTATATTCCCCAAATGTATAATTTTTGAACAATTTATTTTATGTTTAAGGGATTTCTAATGAAGGAAAGACAAGACTTACATCTAGACTACACCCATTAAAATTTCTAAAACTCCTTTTCAGAAGATTTCAGTAACTTATAAACTTTTAATATAATTTGACTCAAGTAAACGTTTGATATTTCAAAGCCTTCATATTCGTGTCTAAAGTTTATTTATATTTTATTCATGAATTGTCATAAAATGAAGTGCATAGTTTAAACATGGCGAAAGAGGCCTCCGAAATGTTGTTGACTTTTGGAGTACGGTTGACAGGTGTAGGGAATTAAATATTTATCTCTTTTATAGCCGGATTTTATGCTTTAAACTTCAAAACATTTGACAATGTGGATATCCTTCCCCGCTCAACCCACCTTGTTTTGTTTGGGGTAAATTGACAAGGTAAACGGTTACAGTTTCGATTTCCTTTGCTTGCTCCCTTGTGTGATTACTCATACGCCGTGTTGTCTTTGGCTTAAAAAAGAAAAGAAAACGAATAAGAAAAAGTTGTTAAAGAAAATTGGAAGATGTGTAGACGAGAACAAGGAGATTGTGGGTTAAATCCCTCTCCCTCTGTCTGGATGTGCCTTAACAATAACTGTATTTACGCATCCCATTTTCCATTTCAATTTCCCCTCTTCCCTTATTTTTCTCCATTTTTATATGTTTTGGTCTTTGTTTTGAGTGTGACTTCTCGTTGTCGTTCTCGTCTCGTCCCTCGTTATGGGTAGCACGTGATTTCACTGGGGAGCATTTTAACTTAATTAGGTCCTGGCTAAAACATGCAAAGAATGCCAGTCTAAAAAATAGGCGTAGATGGGAGGAAGGGCGTTCTACAGCTAGGAATGCGAACAATGTACTCCAGGGTGGACCATCTTTTATGTTTTCATTTGTTTAGAATGTAAAGAGCATTGCAGAGCATAGAAAAATATTTAAATATCATTTGTTTATTGGATTTTTGGTTCTGTAGCGCCAGATCTGTAATGAAAGAATTCGGGATTCAGCATCTTAATGTTTATACTGCTTTTAACATATTCGAAAACCAAATCATTAAATTACCTTTAGTATATCATATATACCTGAGTATAAAGGTTCACTCCAACCAGGAACACACCCGTAAAATCGCATAATCATTACTCGCACACACGCACACCGAGATGTTATCGTCATACTTAAAGGTGGCGGCGGCATATAAGTCCTATAATTTTCCCCTTCACACATATGCACGATATACCCAGAGCCCTGGGCTCTTTTCTGCCAGTTGGAAGATCTATGGGCAATTTAAGCCACAATCAATAATGCGAAATGGAGTCATTAATGTTAATTTGCAAATATTCTTCTCTTTCCCGCAGCATCTACGAGCGGGACATGAGCTCCAGCAGCACAGAAGCTTTGCATCTACGGCGGACGACGATGATGGCAAAAAGTCGGACAAGCATAAAAACCAACTGAATTCTGGAGGTGAGTTTCCAGGGGTTTTTTTCCTTTGACTGTGGGGTAATATTTACCTTTGAGATATTTCGTAAATATTTTCTTTTAATGCAAAAAATCTGATGAAGGTTGCCACATTCACTTGGGGGTTCCTTTGGGGGTACGCAAGGTACGCATATCAATCATCATTCCAATCGCAGATCGCAGCTCACGTCAAAAGCGTGCCAATCAATACCGGCTTAAGTGCCAGAATGATGGGAATTCTTATGATTTAAGCAAGCCCTTTTTCACACTGCAATGGCTTAAAGAACGCTTTAAAAGTGCACTAAAAACTTTAAGCAAAGCGGATCCTGAATCGCAAACTAGTTTGGCATTGAAAAAACAAAAATATGATGAAAGGACGGAAAATTTGGCAAAAACTATAGGAATAGATTTAAATCACAATCGAAGGTACAGAAGGAAACGCTTAGAAAGCTCTCGGGGAAGAGATTTATGTGAGTTTTTTTGGCATGTCTTAGGGAAGTTGTATTGCTAATCATTTTCCTTTTTCATAAAAGGTAAACTGCCGCCATTCAAGAAAGGATTAGTTAATAGAAGAAGGAAAAAGAAAAGATTGCGGTGTCATAGGAAGAAAACGAAAATGAAAAATGGTCAAGGTAGGCATCATAAACTTTTTAATTAAATTTCTTAGACTAAATGAAGCTTTAATTACTTCATACTCAAGCTTTGCTCTTATATTTCAATCAATAAAATACCTCCCCGTTTCTAATCACCTAATTACCAGACCATTTTCAATTTTCTGCTCCCGCCTTCATCGAGTATTCGTTCGTCAACTGTTTGCTTTGACAATAAATAATCGATTAATTAAAGATTAGCGGGACCAATTAGTGGGCATTGCGGTCACTTTATTTCCCAATGAACCATTCCAAGTTATGGCAAATCCCCGGCAGGTGATATATATAATTAGCTTTTTGCATAATGAATAATAGGGTCCGACAGCTGTCACAGAGATAGTTAAATAAATTGTTCATTTATTTATTGGCATAAATTTATAATGTACAGGTGAACAAATGTCTTCGCTTGCGAATTATGTATAATAGATATATATTTAAATAATAATAAATCATACTTTGGATAGCAGTTATTGCAAAATCTTTTGGCTTTACCTGTAAAGCTAGCTAAACTAGGCTACTAACTAAGGTAACCAAGACCCCAAGAAGTTTCCGATTGAGCATTTCCGCTTTCCACCTCACATCTTGTCATCCAGGCTGTCGTACAGCTCCCCATCGGTGGCCACCTTTTCGGGGACCTCCTCGAGAGGCGGCGGCGGTTCCTTGCTGGGATCATAAACCTCAAACTCCTCGAACTCGATCTCGTCGTATTTGCGCCTCTCATAGATGCTCTTATCGTTGGCCACGTAGTGACGAACCACGGTCTTGTCCACCACCGAGTTGCTGCTGCTGGCATTGCTCAGCCGGCGCTCTGGGGGATTGGGAAGAGGAGCCGGGGCCGGGGCCGGAGAGGCCATCAAAGCCTGGCTGTTCACCTGCGGGTGTATCTCCACGGGCACTATGATTTGCGGCCTGTCATTTGACGCAACGACCTTCGTCGGTTTGACGGCCTTTGTCACGGCAGGAATATCCAAACCATTCTCCTTTGATTCACCACCTCCTTCGAGCTTCCTTCCAGTTTTCTGTGGCGGAACTTCGATGGGCTTGCCCTTGGGAGGATTTGTCGGATGATGTGTGCTGGTGCCGGGTGTGGTTGTGGCCTTAACCAGCGTGTAGGCCAAGTCCACGTTTTTATTGCGACAAACTTTGCTGCTGGCAACAGCTGGGGGAGCAGGGCCTGCCGGATTCTCGAGGCGTATGTTCATGGCCTGGCTCTCGTAGAGCTCCTCCTCCTTATGTCGGCCATAACCGTTCTCTGGCTGGCCATTAAAGTTTTCAGCCTTCTCGAGATCATCCCGGGGCATGTCCCCGAACACATTGATGTGATTATTTACTGTCACTTGGCGTCGCATCACCAAGGGGATTTTCTTTCCCTCCTTCTCCTCCTCCTCCTCCTCTCCGGGGTATCTCCTTTCCGGCGTTATCTGGCTCTGGCTGTTGATGGTCAGCTGGTCATCACCGACATCCATCTGATTCGCCTCGAAGTGATGGACCATTTTGCGCACAACTTCGCTATCGGCGCCGAGCTCATCTCCCCCGCCTGTGCCGGCCAACTCCAGGCGGCTACTGCAGCTGTTGGACTTGACCAACTTGAATTTGATGCCTGGGGATGCACGGGAAGAAACAAGCATAACATTATTAAGTAGAATATTGTGGGTTTTTATGTCAGTTTATTACTGACTGACAGTTTATTACTACTGTCACTCTTAATGGGAGATAAAAAATCCTGACAAGAGTTGAGGTATTTTTGCGTTTGAATATTAAGTTATAAATATTAGTTTCTTAGTTTCTTTTTCTTGGTAAAGCCGTTAAAATTTACATTAAAATTCTTATGAAAACCTTATAAAGGGTGCACAAAATAAATGGCTTGTTGTTATGCAAATTTTTCTCCAAGTGAAACTCCCTAATGGTTATGGCCAGAACCTCCTCCTTCTCCTTACCCACCTTGATACGAGTCCAGCTGCTTCTGCTGCTCCTGTTCATCCGCCGCAGACTGCTGTTTGCTTTGCAATCGATGCTCGCATCTCTCGCTCGGCAGGCACACATTGCAGGCCTCGATCTGACGGACTCGGGAGCGGGTTCCATTTGCCAATCCATTTTGGTGCGACTGACTGGAACTCCCACTCCTTGTGGGTGGTGGCGCCGCCTGGCTGGTTGTGGTCTTCTCCAGGACCCGTCCTCCATAGTAGGTGACAGTTGAGCCGCACTCCCTTATCTTGGCCAGCACGTCCTGACGGGCCGAAAAAAGAGAAAGGAAAAGATTAGTCGGCGGGTCTGTCATCAAGGGCTAATGGTCCATAAAGCCACACGCAAAAGGACCGCACCCGAAAAAAGGCTATGCACTGGGGAAAAAATATGGGCATTCTAATTTTAGTCAGAAGCGTTAAATACAGTGAAGAAATCATTTTCGACCCTATAAACCATATATATTCTTGATCAGCATTATCAGCTGAATCTTTCTAGCCATTTTCTAGAGAAATAAAATTTTTTCGATTTTTTTAAAATTTTATAAGGGGTTACATCGTTAAAATTGTCAAAAATTGACCAAAAATGGTATTTTTTAACATTGTAAATGGAGTATGCAGATTTGTTAACCTAACAAAAATTAACACAGGACCGCTTTCCGAATTTAAATAAATGCCTTTTTGGCTTAGTTATGAGTTTTGTAACATTGGATTTTTAGAACAAATTTTCATATAAAAATATTTGTAAATATCGACTAAAAAATGGTATTGCAATTTTAGTCAGAAGTGTAAAACGCAGTGAAGCAGTCATTTCCGACCCTATAAATCATATATATTCGTGATCAGCATCTTCAGCCGAATATTTCTAGCCATTTTCTAGAGAAATAAAATTTTTTTCGATTTTTTGAAAATTTTATAAGGGGTTACATCGTTAAAATGGTCAAAAATTGGAAAAAATTTGAATTTCTTAAATCTGTATATTTAGTATGCGGATTTATAAACCTAATAAAAACTAAGATACGAAAGCTTTCCAAATTAAAATTAATGCTTTTTTGGCTTACTTATGATTTTTTTTAAACATTGATTTGTCTAATAAATTGACATAAAAAATATTGATAAAGAGGTATTCAAAAAATGAGAATCTTTGAAGCTTTGTTATGATTTATTTCCTATTCGATCCTCTAATTCGATTGCAAACTACTAGGGTATATTAGTTTCCTTTCTTGTTATATCTAAAATAACGTTCTATCTCAAAACAAACTTAATTAGATTACTTATTTTGTTAATCAACATTTTTACATTTATAAAAAGCTCAGATTTTCATTCGGTGTACTCACATTGCTGACGTAATAGTTCTCGCACAAATCCTGCTCCACATCGTCTTCATACTGCTCCTCCTGCTCATCATTGTCCTCGTCCTGCTGCTCGCCTTGTCCCAAATTATTTTCATAAATCTGACGATACAGGGACTCATTGGCTCCGCCCGGGCACCAGGTGCGTCGGTTGGCGAACTTGGCTCGGGCCTTGGCATTGGCCGCATTGCTGTTGTGTCGCCTGACCACGTCCTGGACGTGAACATCCTTGCAGGCCATCACCGGTGTCTCCTGATGGTGGTGCTGATACTCGCCGCAGGGCGAGCTCAAGTCCCCGCTGGAAATGCCACTCGACAGGCTGGCATTGTCCCAGTGCTTGGCCTTGTGCTCTTCGAGCAGCTCCATGCCCTTGGGCTGCTCCTGACTGCCGCCGTAGCTGGTGTCTATGGTGAGGTATCGATAGCCTCGAGCACGCCGGGTTTTCGGACTCAGTTGGCAGGCGGAGCCACCGAATTTCTGCTGCGATTGCACGAGTAAACCCTGGCCGGGAGTGGGCAGGACATTCTGTTCAAAGAAGCGTCTCACATTCCGAACTGTATCCGGATCGGGGAGCTCATCCTCGTAGAGTTCTCTGTTGACCCTGACGGGCTGGTAGAAGAAGTGCCTCTTGGCCGCAGCTCCTCCTCCGATTTGTCGCTGTCGGGGTTTTCTTGGCTGGGAACCACCACTGGTGGTGGCATTGACTGCCCTCGGCGGCTTTGGTGGTGGTATTGTGGTGGTCGTCATTGGGTTTATACCCACCTGCAGCGGACGCTCTATTTTGGTCCTAACGGGCTCCACAATGACCACATTATTGTTGCTCAGCAGCTCCTGAAAGCTGTACTCCTGCAAATACTGGATGAGGCCATCGAACTGCGCCTCCTTTTTATTCCGCGTGGCCAGGATATTGCTTCGTATCAGTTGCTGCGACTTGAGCACCTTGTACCGGATGTGATCGAATTGATCCTGATCCTCGTCCTGGTCCTCATCCTGTTCAATGGCAGCCTTCACAATGGTGGCCTTCTGTGAACCTTCGCCCAGCTCCACAATCTCAATTGAGGGCGGCGGCATCATGCTGCAGAAATCGCTGTTTACCGGTGCTTTATCTTGGCTGTACGCCTTGGTCTCGCCACCCAACTGGAAGTGAATGCCTGACTGGGTCTCCTGCGGCTTCGCCTCCTCGGTTTTCACAGCTTCCGCTGGTTCATTGCCCGCCAGTTTGTTCCAATAGCATCGGACTGCATCCACTTTCTGCATATATTCATTAGCCGGGGCTCCACTACCACAACTAATTGTGCTGGCCAGGCTTCGGGCACTGCTCCTTCGTCGCAGGCTGCTTCCAGCAGCTCCTCCTTGAGTGCCCCCTCGGCCATCCACAACGTGCAGTATCTGAGGTCGTGACATTTTGGCCCGGGAAAAGCTCGAGGAGGAGTCTCCGCAGATGCCGTTGGCGGTGGTGGCCAAAACCTTGACAGGCCGGGCCTTGTAAATCGGAGCACCGCTGCTTAGGATGCGGTGCACCAAGGGCTTGCTGCCACTCGAGGAGCTCAGTGAGCGTCGCAGGGAGCGCTGGTTGGTGGGATTACCACTTGAGTTTGAATTTGAGCTTGAGATTGAGATTGCTTTGGGGCCGGGATTAATTCCCCGCTTGGTTTGCTCCTGCTCCTGCTCCTGCTGCTGCCCCTTGCTCTTGCTCTGTTCCGCGATGGCCTCCTTTTGGATGATATTGTTCTGGGCGTCGGTGACAATGATGTGAAAGGATGATGATGGCGGCGCGGGCTTCGCTTGTTCCTGTCGCTCACGGATTTCCTGGGCACGACGCTCGATTAGCTTGCTGAAATTGGCCACTTCAATGGAGGGCGCCTCCTTGGGTTGTTCCGGCTGTGAAATGGATACGGAGAGGTTGTCCTCCTCCTCCTCGATTTCTGGCGACACCTGTGGAGAATTTGAGAGCTCCTCACAGGGCAGGATATCCTCTATCAAAGGTGGCGGTGGTGGCGGCAGGGGTTCCTCTTCCTCCTCTACCTGTTTGTCTTGCGATTTCTGCACTTTCTCCTTGATTAACTCTGGTTTAAGGAAATCCTTGTGTATCCTTGGCTTTTCCTTATCCTTTTCTCGTTCCTTTTCCTTTTCCTTTTCCTGCTGAGCTGCTGCTGCCGATGCTTCCCTTTCGCGTTCTCTTTCGCGCTCCTGGAACTCCCTTTGCCTGGCCTTCTGGTGGGCCCGACCAAAGCGTCGTATGGAATCGTAGGTCTCGGCGCGGGTCACCACCTGCTGCTGCTGCTGCTGCTGTGTCTCCCTCTTGGCCTCCTTGCGCTGCTGCTGCCTCTGCTGGTTGTAGGATGACCTGAGCTCCTTGTCTATGTTCTCGCAGACCTTTAGGCTCACGCCGATGTTGACATCGGGCAGACTGTGGTACTGATTCTCTGTGAGATTGGATTTGCCGTTGGCGCTGGTGACTATAAAGGAGTCGGTGGCCTGGCGCTTGAGTTCCGGCGGCAATGGCTTCACTTCCTCTTGCTTGAGCTTGCGCTTCTCTACAACGGCTAGGATCTTGGGCTTGGGCGTGTGTTCTACCTTGAGAACCTGAGTGAAGATCTGTGCCTCTACCTTCGATGTGCTGGTGGTCAGTACCGGAGGAGGCTCCTTCTTGTGCTGCTTGGCCTGGGGCTCGTACACTGTGTCTTCAATGGAAATGTGCAGCAGACTGCGCGTCTCCAACTCGCCACTCTCGCCGCAACTGGTGAAAGTCCGCTGCTCGAAGGACTCGCAGCTCTCTCCGATCAAGGTGCAGTCAGAGCTGTCCTCGGAGGAGAGATAAACCGAGTCGTAGGCTATCAACCTATCCACCTGATCGGCGTGCTGCAGCTGCCTTAGGGTGCAGTCACTGTCGCTGGCAGTGGGAGCCTCCGTAGGCGTAGCTTCCGAGTCTTGGTCGTCTTCCTCCTCTTGCTCCTCAGCTTCACTGCTCTCCAAACGTGTCCTGGCAGTGGTGGTCAGGCTGATCAGTTCGTAGCTCTCCTCTCCCTGGTCACCCTGGTGCTGGTAAATCTCCTCAATGTGGGTCAAGTCGTATTCCTGCTCGGAGAGCGAGGGACTGTCTGTCTGGTCGTCGGAGTTACTTGTGGTGGTCTCCGGGAAGATGCTGCTCTGACTGTGCTCGGGGCAGGACTCGCCGCCAGTGTCCAGGTGCCGCTGTAGATGATGCAGGCTCCTGTGATGCTGCTGCTGCTGTCTCCTCGACTGATAGATCCTGGGACGCTCCTTGAGCAGGCTAACGGCCACCTGTTCGAGGGCCTCCAACTCCAACGAAGAGGGCTGCTGCTGCTCGAGATGATTCTGGTGCAGCGAGTTCTTGAAATAGTCCGAGTTGAGGCTCTCCAAGTCGCTCTTGTCGTTGTGCCACGGATGCAATGGCTCCGCCAGACCCAAAGCCAGGGCGTCCAAGCGTTTCAGATTATCGTAGTAGACATCAAAGTCACGCGATGGGTGTCGTTGCTGGAGTTGGAGTTGCTGCTGCTGCTGCTGCTGCTGCTGATGCGAATCGCAGGTGTTTGAGTGGCTTCTCTGGCTCTGGGCGTCTTCTGTTGCCGTCGCCGGCGGCGTCTGCTGATCCGCTGGCTGATCACCGGCCAGCAAGGTCGTCGGATTCGGATTCGCTTTGCCGTTCAATCTGCGAGTGGGAAAAAAACGAGTCAGAAACGGCAGGATGGGCTCGTTAATGGGGCCATTGTTATAAGCATAAAGTTACAATTACAATTACAATTACAATTACTACACAGATGATGACTGCGCTCATCTCCCAGACTGCCTCTAGGCCGACCTCGTTTTCAGTGTCATGTGAGAGTTGTCTCAATCAATCAATCAATCGGAGAAATCGCATAAACAAGCAAAAACCAAACCCAACCGAGAATGTCAGGCAGTCACAAGTGAGTTCTTGTTTGTCATTCAGGGAGGTGAAAAAAAGAAACAAACTGGGACAGGTGATGGATAGAGTTGTGAACGCAATCATGAAATTAAATGTGTCAAAACGGCGATGAAAGAACAGGATGTTGTGACACCGTAAATGTAGTTAAATTTAAAAAGTCTTCTCAAATTAATGTCCCTTTTATGTTTACACAGTTTTGTGAACTATCAAGAGATATGCATATTATTTTTCTAAATAAAGTAATACCGAAACTAAAACAGAGGCCACTCTTTGGTTAAATTTTCATATTATTTGTAATAAATATTAAAACTGCTTTAGAGGCAAGATTCTACGCCATTTACAAGGGTACTATCACGAACGCCAGCCAATTAAGTAATCTCATAACTCAGCCAAAAATGCAGTAATTTTCATTCGGAAAGCTTTCCTGTGTTAGTTTTTATAAGGTTAATAAATCTGCATACTTCATTTGCTATCTTAAAAAATACAATTTTTTATCAATTTTTGACAATTTTAACGATGTAACCCCTTATAAAATTTTGCAAAAATCGAAAAAAATTTGTTTGCCTCGAAGATGGCTAGGAAGATTCGCCTGTTGATGCTGATCAAGAATATATATGATTTATGGGGTCGGAAATGACTGCTTCACTGCGTTTTTCGCTTCGGACTAAATTGTAATACCATTTTTTAGTAGATATTTACCAATATTTTTATATGAAAATTTGTCCTACAACCAAATCTTACAAATCTCGTAGCTCAGCCAAAAAGGCATTAATTTAAATTCGGACAGCGGTCCTGCGTTAGTTTTTACTAGTTTAATAAATCTGCATACTCCATTTACAACCTTAAGAAATACAGTTTTTTGCCAATTTTTGACAATTTTAATGATGTAACCCCTTATAAAAATTTGGAAAAATCGAAAAAAATATTTTTCTCTAGAAGATGGCTAGAAAGATTCTGCTCTTGATGCTGATCAAGAATATATATGCTTTATAGGGTCGAAAATAACTCCTTCACTGCGTTTTATGCTTTTGACTAAAACTATAATACCTTTGAAGGGTATACAAAAAAAAACAAAGACTATAAACTACAGGTCGACTAATTGTTCGCTTAATAACAATTATTTATCAAAAGTACGTTTAATTAAGTAAAAATTGTATTTAAATTATTTATTTAGATACTAATTTCCCGAATTTCCAGCAATTAATCATATTTCTAAAAGAAATTAAATGTTAATCAGGTGATTTATTAATTCGAAATTTAGTAGAGATATAATTAAAAGCAGCCTATATAAATCTTTCCTCGTTTTAAGTGGGATTATCATTATTATCTCTATTGATTTCATTGCTGGCTGGCCTGGCATTCTCTCTGAATAGAAAACCTCTTAGCAGTTTGGATTCTAAGCCTCCATTAGTTCGCATTAAAGTTAAACTGGCTGACATTTTCCCCTTTGGACTTTGGGATCGCTTTCAGTTGCACGTTGCACTCGTCGAGTCGAGTTGAGTTGAGTGGAGAGTTTACCCAGTGACTCGACGGCGACGATTTGCGGCAAATTAAATAAAAACCCGAGACTGAATGCCAGGGGCTCAGACGGGGGCCGGAAGGATGCGATTTCAAGTGCCCTGGCAGCTGTCATTGTCAGGATGCGCAGGATAACGTGTGGACGTAGCTAAAAGCTTTTTCCCGCTGCCTGTCAGGAGCCGCAGGACTCATATGGAGCTGAAGCTAGATAGTTATATGTTGTCCAAACAATTGACACACAACAAACTTTTGCGATTTTAATTAAACAAGCGGGACAACTATTAAATGAGGAAAAAAAAAACTCTTGACTAAAGTTTAACTGCACAAAAAAAGTGATGTAACTTGATTTTATGTTCGCTTATTTGGACTTTGCAGTTGTCACAAATCAGGCTTAGGTTTGATTGACAAACCGCATTTAGCGGTGACAAAATGTTAGTAGCACTCTTAGAATTATATCACAATATATTCCTCTTTGCCATTCTTTCCACCTCGACTGTAGTCAGCCGTGGCTTAATGCAACAATGACCTCGTGTCATGACCCTGACCTGGCCACAGGGCAATGAAAACCGCTCAAAAACCAATGAAACCACCACCGGCATCACAAACGGAAAATGGTAACAACGATAACAAACCGACCGCAACAATTTGGCCGCCGGCTCACGAATTCAAATTGTTTAAAAAGCGTAAATTGCGCCTGTGCTCCGAGACCTGTTGAGTTTGCGGCGAGCTTCGCTCAACGACTGACTCGGCCAGCGAAAACCACGCTGGGCTTACGCGGCGTATGCGTGTTAAAAGCACTCGAGAGCAAAATCATTGTTTTACGGGGACTCAGTTTCGTTTAAACAAAGTTCTTAAGTAATTGGTTATTTAAATTCTCCCCTGACCTTTAAGCATTAGTTTTAAACATTTTTGAAAATGTTATTTAAAAGTTAGTTCGTTTTTTAAAGCCTAGTGCTAGTGACTCACTTACCGTGGCGATTCGCGGAAAAATCCACGACTAACGAGCCGGGCACGCGGTATTAGCTGCGATCGACGACGACTGCTGTTTGCGGATCCGATTTGCAGGTCGCTAAATGTCTCCTCACGGATTACGGCCAAGCTGCGCGATCTCCGCAAGCTGCACGACTCGCCGCTGCCCAAAATGTCGAGCAAGGTGGCTGCAGCGCTGGCTACTCCACTATGGGATAAGCCACCATTTGATGTCACCTTGTTGGAGGTGGTGGTGTGTGTATTAGGGCTGGGTGTGGTGGATTCTCCAGGCTTTTCTGGAGTCGTTGCAGTGTCCTTGATGGGAAGAGCTAGGAAAATCCAAATAAATTATTAATTACAGTCCCAAAGACATGATAATTAAGAAGACAGCTTAATAATATGTCAGAAACCGATACTGCTGATGATAATAGTAATTCATTTACACGACATGGCCGAGTAGTTTCTGATCAAATTCCCTTCGCAGAAGGCCTCCACTCACCCGCGTAGCTTTCGACTTGGTCTAGCGGAGCTTCCGCATCGAATCGCCAATAGAACTCGGCTATGTCCAAGGCATTCTCGTCCCGTTCCAATTGCGTGTAGTCTAGCGATCGGGCGTTTCTCAGCTGGCCGTTTCCGGTGCAGTTGCCACTTCCGGTTACGCCCACCCGACACTGCGTCCAATGGGGTTGAGCGTGAGGATGGGAGTGAGAGTGGGAATGGGAGTGGGAGTGGGAGTGATGATGCAGGAGGTGTCCCTCCTGCTGCTGGTGATGATGATTTAGGAGCTGCTGCTGCTGCTGCTGCGAGTGACGACCTAAGCCAGAACCGGCTGCTTCATGGCAGCTGGTGGCCAAGTCGAGATGCGATATGGATTTGTGGGTGTGTCGCCAGCCAGCGGCTCGGAGCTGTGGACACCGCGGGTCGTGGATGGTCTGCTGATGGAGCTGCTGGTGTTGGCTGCTGCTGCTGGTGGTGGTGGTATCCTCCAGACGCACCCGATCCACGTAGTTGTGTTGGTAGCTGTAGGTGTCCTTGCCTCTGGAAATAAAGAGATAGTACAATTATACACTAGACATTCTGGATCAAGATTTTTCTGATTAGAAAAGAGTATATTTATATCTTTTCTTACTAAAACCTACATGGTTTACCTATTTTAAATATTCCCAAAAATACTTTTCCATTTTCTAGAATTTGTTTCACCCTAAAATACATTTCTAATTGATTAAAAAGTTATAGCCATTGCAAAAGGACAATAAATTAAGCACTTGTTGGCCTGAAAACACTTTTAAAAAGCACTCTTATCTTAGTTTATTCTCCACAAATTTATAGCTTTAGAACTCAGGACATAGTCTTTTGTGAAATTACTCTATCAAACAACTTGTTTTCTGACTGCTTGAAATATAGTTCAAGTGGAACTGGATCACATGAGGAATGACCTCGATTTTATGAGCCATTGCCACCTGTGCGGCAGTTGAATTAAACTTCTCCAATGGTGATTCGGGGGTCATAAACATTAGTTCTCTCCCCTAAGGACGACTGCCATTGCCATCATTCATTCGGGGCACACAGACTCCACAACAACATCTTTACGAGCCAGCAAAGAACGGAGGTTGTGCAGGGCGAAGAAGCGTTTAAGCCAAAAGGACTGTAGAATTTGCTTACCAGCTTTCTTGCTGGCCCCTTTTTCCCGACCATCTCTCTTTGACTGATTGGGGGAAAATTGCTTAGCCAGCAGAAGCTGCTATTTCCCCCTTTTTTTCTTCACCTGAGCTGCCAAATGAAGCGTGGGATCCGCGGCAGCAGCAGCTGTGACTTTGGTGTTTCGTGGGGGCGAAGCCGTGCCGGAAAAGCTATTTGCTATTTGTAAATGGAAAACGTCTGCCATCGATTGGCAGATTGATTGTGTAAATAGCTTCAGAACTTTGGTCTGGCCAAGGGGGAATTGCGAATAGTTTTGAGTTATTGCTAGTGCATCTTATCAAGATTCTCGACTGGGTCTGGAGAGCGGGATAATTAATTAGTTACAGGGGGATTTCAATACTTTATTATACCCTTGCAGGGTATTAAAATTTCAGTCAGAAGCTTAAAACGTCATGAAGGAGTCATTTCCGACCTTATAAATCATATATATTCTTGATCAGCATTAACAGGCGAATCTTTCTAGCTATCTTTGGAAGAAAACAATTTTTTTTAGATTTTTTCAAAATTTTATAAGGGGTTACATCGTTAAAATTTAAAAAAATTGGCAAAATTTTGAAATCTTAAAAATTTCAAATTAAGTATGCAGATTTATTAACCTAACTTAAACTAACATAAAACAGTTTTCCGAATTAAAATTCATGCTTTTTTGGCTCAGTTATGAGATTTTTAAACATTAAACTTCAAAACTTCATCAATATACATCGATTTAAAGAATACGAATATTTTAGGCTTAGTTATGATCGATTTCTGATTCCATCTAATAATATAATTGGGCTTCCCCAAGTTTGTTTCTTTTCATGTTCTTTAAATTTAAATGTTTTTGATTATTATTCACAATTTGTATCCAGAAAAAATCCAATAAAAGGCTTGCTAATGACATTTCTAGAACTTTCAGCAAAGCAAATAAAACCAACTCAATATAATTGTCATAATATTTTAAAAACTTCGAAAATGAATTAAAGAAAGCCTAACGAAAGGCTTTGGAAATTGCCAGCTTGCTAGAAAACTTTTCTGCCTAATCTCTGCACAATTTGCATTGAAACAAAATACTTTCTAATACCCAAAGTTCAGGTGCATACATTTTCCCCACTGACCCTGGCTGCCGTGTTAATTGCAGGTGTTTTTCGGAAAAGGGAAAGGTGGTGGGAGGCGCCATTTTACCGGCACCATTTTACCGGATGGTTGCATTTTAGATGCGAGTCATTACAATTGCAAATGTTGCCAACTAATGTTTAACTGTGCGGCGGGGATTTCAACCGTCCGGTCTCCAGTCTGTGTTCTCCAGCCTCCATCCTCCATCCTGGGGAGGATGCGGCGCGCCATTCTGGCGACTGCATTTGAGCCTGCTCGTCTGGGCTCTCCTGCCGCTTGTCCTTGTTTTTAGAAGCGCCCGAGTTTATGGACCGAGCGACTCACATAAAAATAATAAAAAATAAAGAGCCAGAAAGTGCTGAGCGACGACGACGGTGTGAGCTCTCCTACTCCTGCTGCTGATCCTTCTCCTGCCAACTGCTTAGCATTGGTGGCCTGGCCTCATTTTCACTGCTCCATTGCTGGCACCATTACTTTTTTGGCTAGCATACATTTGGGGGTTAGCACACACACACACACACACACAAAGCACACTCTGTACGCACACACACACAGGACTCATTCTCTTGGGGCCAAACAAAGGTTAAAGGGAATGTTCTTTTGCTGCCATTTTGTAGCGCTCTCCTTTGTATTTCACTTAAAAGTTAATTAGACGGATGTCAACACTGTGTGGAATGCCTCCTCTGAATTGTTACCTTGCGTGTTTCGCAAGCAGCGATAATATCTCACTTTTTGTATTACAGTGGAGTCTCGAAAGAATTAACTTTGATTACCATTTATAAATACTTGCAGTTCTCAATCTCATTATAGGATCGAATCGGAAATCGATCGTAACTTAGCTTAAAATATTCGTATTTAATGAATCGATATTTGATTTTTTTTATGTGCAAATTTTTACGACAAAATCAATGTGTAAAAAACTCATAACTCAGCCAAAAAAGCCTTAATTTTAATTCGGTAAGCTTTCCTATGTTAGTTTTTAATAGGTTAACAAATCTGCATACTAAATATACAGATATAAGAAAATCAAAATTTTGTCAATTTTTAACAATTTTAACGATGTAACCCCTTATAAAAATTTGGAAAAATCTAAAAAAATGTTTTTCTCCAGAAGATGGCTAGAAAGATTCGCCTGTTGATGCTGATCAAGAATATATATGATTTATAGGGTCGGAAATGACTCCTTCACTACGATTTATGCTTCTGACCAAAATTGCAATACCATTTTTTAGTCGATATTTAACAATATTTTTATAAGAAAATTTGTGCTAAAAATCGATTCCTAAAAAAGTCATATCTAGACCAAAAAGGCATTAATTTAAATTCGGACAGCGGTCCTGTGTTAGTTTTTGCTAGTTTAATAAAGCTGCATACTCAATTTACAATATTAAAAAATGCAATTTTTTGTCAATTTTTAACAATTTTAATGATGTAACCCCTTATAAAAATTTGGAAAAATCGAAAAAATGTTTTTCTCCAAAAGATGGCTAGAAAGTTTCTGCTGAAAGTGCTGATCAAGAATATATATGATTTATAGGGTCGGAAATGACTGCTTCACTGCGTTTTTTGCTTCGGACTAAATTGTAATACCATTTTTTAGTAGATATTTACCAATATTTTTATATGAAAATTTGTCCTAAAATCATATCTTACAAATCTCGTAGCTCAACCAAAAAGGCATTAATTTAAATTCGGACAGCGGTCCTGCGTTAGTTTTTACTGGTTTAATAAAGCTGCATACTCAATTTACAATCTTAAAAAATTCAATTTTTTGCCAATTTTTAACACTTTTAACGATGTAACCCCTTACAAAAATTTGGAAAAATCTAAAAAAATATTTTTCTCTAGAAGATGGCTAGAAAGATTCAGCTGAAAGTGCTGATCAAGAATATATATGATTTATGGGGTCGGAAATTACTGCTTCACTGCGTTTTACGCTTCTGACTAAAATAATAAGACTATGCAAGCTTATACAAATAAGAAAAGGAAACTGAAACTAAATCATTATTTTTGTAAGGAAAGACGTAGTTTCTTTTTAAAATTTAATTTAGTAATAATAGAGAACTGGTAAAGAAGCAGTGGCTCCTTACTGAATCAGCTGTAGATCCACGCCTTTTACTTATCGTATATACTTTATAAATGTATAGTAATATAGAACCCCTTCTTGTTTTCACAAGTACACTTTACAAAGCAAGCACTGCTGTATTTTATTATTATTTTCCTTTCCTTCTTAGACTCGGTGAGAGCCGTTTTTCCGCTTTCATTTCCTTCTAACTGTTTGTGCCTCCCAAAGAGCTTTGGATTTTAATTACTACCGGCAATATGTTCATTTCGCTTTCGGCGAGGAATATAAAGCGAGTTGCTAATTGCTTTTAATGCCATTTTATGACTGACAGCCGCTGCTGTTATAAACATTCTGGCACTTTGTGTATTTCTCTATTTTTTTGTTGCTGCGTTTCGCGAAAAGCATTAAAATTACAAATTCGGTTTTGGTTTTCCAGTCACGTGTTGGTTTTTTGTTTCGTTATCAACTTGATTTTATTGTGACACGCGCCGCATTAAATTTCTCACTTTTTTGCAATATCCCAAGGCCCAAGGGCAGAGCGTGAAAAGCGGGGGGAAAAGTCAAATTAGATTTGCGTGCGATTAGTGAGCGATTTTCAACGCGCTATTTGCCAAAATAAAACCCGAAACATGCACGCACAGCACATGGCCGAAGGCTCTAAATAAGTAATGAGGGAAAAAGGCTAATTAAAATGCCACAAAATATTTAGCACAGAAATACAAGAAATACGATTATTGCCGTGCATATTCATAGGCAAATACATATCGAACAAAAGAAGATGTTGCCTCGACTCCGTATTTAAGAGCTGCAGCTAATTAAATTAGCCACAAAAAATAATAATAAATGAAAACATGTTCGTGCCAAAATGGAAATGAAAATGGTAAAACTCGCATGACAGCGCCAAATTAATTAACACAGATATCTATTGGGTGAAAAATAAGCAAACCGGCAAACCGCCACACGCGGATTTACATGAAAAACAGATACAGATACAGATACAAATGCAGATGGAGATACAGATACAGCCACCGGAGCATAAAGTCGACCAAAAAAATAAATACATAAAATCATTCGCAATCGGCATTCTCACGCGGCCCAGACAATAGGAACATGGCAGTATTGTGAAATTAGAATTGAAAAATAAATAAAACAATTGGAATTGAATTAATCAGAGCGTATT